ACTCCTGTGTACCAAAAATTGATAATTTTAATTTGTTTTAAAAAATACAAAAATTCTCAATCATAACATAAGCTGGTCACAGGGATGGCAGTACAGCAGGGAGAATTTAGCCAAGGATTCTGTAAGATATTCCTATGTTGACAAATAGTAACTGTACTAGTGAGGCTGAGAATTTAATTATGTGGGTAACAGGTGAACCACTGTGCTATATACTTGAAACCATATAAGAATATATATCAACTATACTTCAGTAAAAAAAAATTAGGCACTATTTCAACACCACCATAGAAATGACATAATTACGTACATATCTAACAAAATAGATGCAGGATCAATAAGCTAAGTACTATAAAGCACTGATAAAAAAAATCAAAGAAGACCTAAAGATAACAAAGATACCATGCTCATAAACTGGAAGACTCAATTGTTAATTATTCCCAAATTGATGTCTAAATCCTCTCAGTACCAACAGAAATCACTGCAAGACTTTCTGTAGATAGTATATCCCTAAATGAGAACTAGAAAGTGACAGTAACTGAAGATATTTTGCTCTTTTTTCCTACCAGCAAGTCAACCAGTGAGCACAGTCTTTAGCTATTATCAGTAAACTCTTAAAATGCATCCATTTTCCCAAATGGATTCCCCAATTATACTATGAAAATTACTGAGTCTACAAGGGAACTCTACCATTCTTCAGTTCTGAACACAAAGATGGCAGCATTCTATGTGTCTAACAGTTTCATTAACAGACCACCGGTTCATAAACCGCTTTTGAGCTCCATCTCCCACTAGAGCACAGGACTTGTAACAGCACAGTGGAGGGGATGTGCCATACCTTTCTTAAATACATAATCTGGTTCATCAAACTGACTTGTTTTCAGGACACAGATTTAATTCGATTCTGCATACTAACCTACAATAAGAGAATTGTGTGGAGAGAATGAAGCAACAAAAAAGAAACCAATGTGGGAAAAAGGCACAAACATGACTGCTTGTATAATTCTTTGATAGAAATATAAGAAAAACATCATCAAATCCAATATATTTAAGGTGGCAAAAAGGGATATAAATCACTCAAAAGAGAAGCCAAAAAACTGGGGGCAAGGGATATAATAATTTGGATAAGGTCCCAAAGACAACAGGCCAACAGTAGGATAACATACAGAGATTAAAAAGTAGTAACAGTCCAAAAATCTAGGTTTGGATGAGAAAATGGAAAGCAGTATCATTTTTTTTTATAATATATATGATGATGGCAAATGATTTACAAATACACAGTATGAAAAATACAAATGAAAACATTTAAAGCTCAACTTAGGTGAGGTAGAGAAGAATGGAGAAAAATGCTTTGTGGAGTTTTCTGTGAAGAGTATACAGTTCCAGTGCATGTACTTTATACAATTATAATCATTTTCAAGTATTCTCTTACAGATAATGAATTGCCAATGTTGTTGACTCTCTAGTACCTTGGCTACTCCCTACTTGATGGAGGTTTCAGCAGATGGTCCATTTCTAATTTTCTGGTAAAACATTTGTTTAAAGAAATTTGAAGTCGAGAAGTCAAATGAAATTTTTGATTTGACTTTAAACTGAAATAAACCTTTCTTCCTTGGGCTCCAGTAGCAGAGAGAATTGAGAGTTAGTTACAATATTAAGTATTAATTGAAAGAATACCCTTGAAGCAATAAAAAGTGATTTTTCAGCGACAAGAAACTGCTTTAGTATATGTACTTTGCAAAAAGGTTCAAAGCACTTTCAGTTGTGGTCAATTCCAACATTTCACAAAGTTGAGTTTTTTTACTTACAAACTCAGAGAATCATCAAAAATGTAGAAACAGAACTAGACACAAGCCAGATCTGATACAAAGACCTGATATAATTAGTACAGTGTAAATGCCAGCGATAAATTACTTTCTCATATTATTCACAGTTGTCCAAAGGGAAGGGGACAAATGAATAAAATTTAAAAGGACTCCCATATCAGAAATTTTAAGAATTAAAATTCTTATGCAATCAAAATGCAACAAGAAAGAAAAATACAACTTGTGAAAAATGATATTAATAGAGATATTTGGGGTTTAGATTCCTATCTGTTGCTTAGTTATCGCTAGAAAAGCTTTCCAGGTTAATAATTAACTAAAAATTAATCTATAAAGTTACTTATAACAAAAAATTTGGTTTTAAATAATCAATTGTAGCATTTTTCAAATTTAGTGTATTATATGAATACAAAATGTATTAGGTGCACAAGTGTGGGAATCTGTTATTATGGAAATAAGAATCTATAAATTCTGACATAATTTGATACTAATATTTTTCATGAAAATAATTTGATTTTCAATCCAGTGGCTGAGATATTTTTTTCATCTTTGTTAAAAACTAAGTAAGTTAGGCTTATCCAACAAAGATATCAGAAAGCCTTGTAATCACCAAACCAATTTGTAGTTTTTTTGTTTTTTTTAACTTTTAAAATTTTATATTAGGGAAAATTTTAAACATACACCAAAGTAAAGAGAATAATATAATGAACCCCATGTACTCAGCAATTATCGTTTCATGGCCAATCTTATTGTATCTGTATTCATACCTACTTCTCCCTTCCCCCAGATTTTTTAAGTAAATCCTAGATATAATTCCATCCATAAATATTTCAGTATGTATGTTTAAAAAATTAAGATTTGTTATACATGCCAAAAGATTATCATTTCAATTTTTTTTTGTATCAATCTACAATTACATGAGGAACATTATGTTTACTAGGCTCCCCCCTTCACCAAATCCCCCCCACAAACCCCAGTACAGTCACTGTCACAATTTGTAGTTTTTAAAAAGAAAACTATACTAAGCATTGTACGCAATAAAAAATACTGTAGTTGGTGGTATCTTGTGTATTCTGAACTACAAGTCACTTGCACAGGGAATCAAAAGCAATGTCCAGACCTGAACCATTCCTGGCATGATTTTTTACAAAGATCCCAGAATTTGTTTCTTCAATATAGTCTGAATATAACTTAGAAATACTGTCTCATAGAGAGTTAAAGTACAGAAATGTATACTTCAACAACAACAATAAAATCAAAACTCTATTCTGGACCCAGAGAAAACTTGAGCTGCAAAAAGTCATATAACTATTAAGTAGTAACTGAACTCAGGTCACCCAATTCTAAGTCCCAAATACCTTCATATGTTTCCAAAGACAGGGGGCCAACTATAGGAAAAGGGTAGTTTGCAGAGTTCTAACAATAGCTCTACTAACTTACCTAAGTTGTTTTCAACTCATTAAACAACTCTGTGCCTTAGTTTCCTCTACTTCATAGGGATATTCTGACAACAAATATAGACAAAAAAAAACTTGAACTCTTGGCAGAGAAGCACCATATGTATTTCACTAGGGTGATAATTTCTCATCCCCACAAGTTTCAACTCATGTTATTTTCTCTGGTTTAATTTTAAGCTTAAAATAGCATTGTGTGCGTGTGCGTGTGTGTGTGTGTGTGCGCGCACAAGCACATACTACCCACAAACATGGCTAGCATTCTAACAAGATCCTTTTCTCCAACTTTCAAAATGCATGAGAAGTTACACAATACTTTAATTTTTAACATTACCAAAACCTCACCACCACAGCTATACAGAAAATTTTTGAAACTCCCAACTATATTTTCTACTACACTACTCCCACCTTCTATAGAAGTACAATCAAAACTTACAGTCTACTCAGCTAGCCCCTGTGAAGCTTAAACACTACCAGTGGAAGATGATAAAAATGCATACTGCTTTTCACAATTATAAAAGATTAATTCCAACTACAAATTAAAAATTTGGTACACATTTTTTTAAATGAAGGTCACTAATATTCCCAGAATAATGGAAATAGGTGATGATTATATTTCTAATAATTCAGTCATCTGCAACATGTCTTCTACTTTGTCAACAGATATATAATCTAGCCACTGTCTAAAAAAAAATTCCTCAATATTGAGAATAGAAAATTACTTACAGGTAAGCAAAGTTAATAAAAATTTAAAGCAATATTTTAAGTTAATTACTGATACCATTGTTTTTATTCTTTTGACAGATCTATCTTAAAATAATTTAACTTTATATCTTAGGAAACCATGTAACTAACTTCCTTTGTCCTTTACCAATATATTTGCCCAATAACATTAGCTTATAGCCACATACAACATTTCAGGCATAGCAATCCATTAGAAGTGCCCAGGTTAAAAACAGAAATAGCCAGCTGACATAATATATTACGACAAATGATCAGTATATACACACTGAATGAAAGGTTTACCTAAGGTAAAGACTAAGTAATAATCTTAAAAGTAATGCATGTGATTAAATCTTTACAAACTGAGACTATGCCAACAGCAATAGAGTTTCAAAAAAATATTTTAGGGTATAATCACCTTAGATCAATCTGATTAATGTTTTGAATGAATGAATGAATGAATGACTTCCTGAATGAATGAATACTGCAGTCATAACAATGTTTAACACCTTGAGATGTTCACAACAATTTGAAATACACAAAGAAGATGACTTGAATACAAACAAACTAGTTGAAATTCAATGTGGTTCACAGTGAAGATGCAGTCGCTTTCTATTTGTAGAACAAAGAATCTCAACTAAAAACATATATATGACTAAAATATTCTCAAGTGCTATTTATTATCCAGGCTTTAAAGAGAATATGTACTTTTTACTATGTAATTCTTGCAAGACCCTCCATATCCCTGCATTTTTTAATATTTGGCATACATGAGCAACAAACCAGAATAGACACATTGTTAAAAGACTGATTTACTCATATTCTATTTAAAAGCAACATACAACCACTTATAAATATAGCCTTTTAAAAAAGTATCCTTATATAAAACAGTGGGGAGGGGGGGAATCCCTGCTATACATATCAAGCAGTTTAAGCCCAATACAACTGACCAATCAAGATTAGTGAATGCACTGCATCTCTCTGCAGTGGAGAGAAGCGACAAGGTAGGCTGTCATTCTGCAAAAGCTGCCCAGACCAGGCTTTCCTCTGAAAAGCAGTGGTGCCGGTTCCTTTTTAGAAAGACTGAATCTAAATGTCGTCTCTGGAGACAAGAAGCCTTCAGAATGTTAAATTACTTTCATTATGTTTTTTCAGATGCTTATTGATTCCACAGTAGGAAGAGTGAAAGACTGCAGCAGCCTCTAAGCAGCACTACATGTTCCACACACTAGCAGTACTGCTGAAACAATGGCACAGTACAGACACATATTTTCATTAAGGTCTTTTCCGAAGAGATGTTTATGACCCTCATCCCCCAGTCCTCTACTAACAAGTGAACAAAATGAATCAATCAAAACTGGAAACGCTTCAACTACATCAAGATTTTATCAAATCTTTAGCGGAGGTAAGACACGTTCCTTATTACAGCTGCTTTTGAACCGGCATGGTGGGGTAAAATTACTTTGAAAATTTCAGCCTAAATTTTAAGAGTTTAATTTTACTTACTGCTAACATGTATTTGTAAGCTCTTTATCTTTTAAGACCTGATATATTTTAAATGTAATTTTTAAAGATGCATTGTTAAATACCAAGAATATTCTTTGTTGACTCACTAATGAAGACATCAGTTTTTAAGTCACTTCAGACAGACTAAATATTCTTAATGTCATCAGGGAACAGTTCTTCTCAAGTCTTAAAAAAAATGCTTGTGTTTCTTAAAAGAATTAGATTTACTATTTAGTTCTTATTTATCACTCAGTTTTAGGTTAACTTTATTATTGGGCTTTTTCATTGAAAATTTAATTTGCAGTTAACATTTTGCTTTACCTTTTACATTTTAACCACATGAACAATTCATCAATGGAGATTTATAGTATCTTATCATGGAATCTGTTTTATTAGTTAAAATTCAAACCATGTGCTAATAAGCAAGCTACAGTATTTTACAGCAGGAAATACTGCTGAATTTATTTTAAAGACAAAAAGGAAATGAAGGTCACTAATATTCCCAGAATAATGGAAATAGGTGATGATTATATTTCTAATAATTCAGTCATCTGCAACATGTCTTCTACTTTGTCAACAGATATATAATCTAGCCACTGTCTAAAAAAAAATTCCTCAATATTGAGAATAGAAAATTACTTACAGGTAAGCAAAGTTAATAAAAATTTAAAGCAATATTTTAAGTTAATTACTGATACCATTGTTTTTATTCTTTTGACAGATCTATCTTAAAATAATTTAACTTTATATCTTAGGAAACCATGTAACTAACTTCCTTTGTCCTTTACCAATATATTTGCCCAATAACATTAGCTTATAGCCACATACAACATTTCAGGCATAGCAATCCATTAGAAGTGCCCAGGTTAAAAACAGAAATAGCCAGCTGACATAATATATTACGACAAATGATCAGTATATACACACTGAATGAAAGGTTTACCTAAGGTAAAGACTAAGTAATAATCTTAAAAGTAATGCATGTGATTAAATCTTTACAAACTGAGACTATGCCAACAGCAATAGAGTTTCAAAAAAATATTTTAGGGTATAATCACCTTAGATCAATCTGATTAATGTTTTGAATGAATGAATGAATGAATGACTTCCTGAATGAATGAATACTGCAGTCATAACAATGTTTAACACCTTGAGATGTTCACAACAATTTGAAATACACAAAGAAGATGACTTGAATACAAACAAACTAGTTGAAATTCAATGTGGTTCACAGTGAAGATGCAGTCGCTTTCTATTTGTAGAACAAAGAATCTCAACTAAAAACATATATATGACTAAAATATTCTCAAGTGCTATTTATTATCCAGGCTTTAAAGAGAATATGTACTTTTTACTATGTAATTCTTGCAAGACCCTCCATATCCCTGCATTTTTTAATATTTGGCATACATGAGCAACAAACCAGAATAGACACATTGTTAAAAGACTGATTTACTCATATTCTATTTAAAAGCAACATACAACCACTTATAAATACAGCCTTTTAAAAAAGTATCCTTATATAAAACAGTGGGGAGGGGGGGAATCCCTGCTATACATATCAAGCAGTTTAAGCCCAATACAACTGACCAATCAAGATTAGTGAATGCACTGCATCTCTCTGCAGTGGAGAGAAGCGACAAGGTAGGCTGTCATTCTGCAAAAGCTGCCCAGACCAGGCTTTCCTCTGAAAAGCAGTGGTGCCGGTTCCTTTTTAGAAAGACTGAATCTAAATGTCGTCTCTGGAGACAAGAAGCCTTCAGAATGTTAAATTACTTTCATTATGTTTTTTCAGATGCTTATTGATTCCACAGTAGGAAGAGTGAAAGACTGCAGCAGCCTCTAAGCAGCACTACATGTTCCACACACTAGCAGTACTGCTGAAACAATGGCACAGTACAGACACATATTTTCATTAAGGTCTTTTCCGAAGAGATGTTTATGACCCTCATCCCCCAGTCCTCTACTAACAAGTGAACAAAATGAATCAATCAAAACTGGAAACGCTTCAACTACATCAAGATTTTATCAAATCTTTAGCGGAGGTAAGACACGTTCCTTATTACAGCTGCTTTTGAACCGGCATGGTGGGGTAAAATTACTTTGAAAATTTCAGCCTAAATTTTAAGAGTTTAATTTTACTTACTGCTAACATGTATTTGTAAGCTCTTTATCTTTTAAGACCTGATATATTTTAAATGTAATTTTTAAAGATGCATTGTTAAATACCAAGAATATTCTTTGTTGACTCACTAATGAAGACATCAGTTTTTAAGTCACTTCAGACAGACTAAATATTCTTAATGTCATCAGGGAACAGTTCTTCTCAAGTCTTAAAAAAAATGCTTGTGTTTCTTAAAAGAATTAGATTTACTATTTAGTTCTTATTTATCACTCAGTTTTAGGTTAACTTTATTATTGGGCTTTTTCATTGAAAATTTAATTTGCAGTTAACATTTTGCTTTACCTTTTACATTTTAACCACATGAACAATTCATCAATGGAGATTTATAGTATCTTATCATGGAATCTGTTTTATTAGTTAAAATTCAAACCATGTGCTAATAAGCAAGCTACAGTATTTTACAGCAGGAAATACTGCTGAATTTATTTTAAAGACAAAAAGGGATGACAGTATGTTTAGTGTATGCTAATTGCTCATGATCTCTGAAAAACAGGTTAGCTGTAAAATGAGAGCAGAAATTAGTTTTAAAAATGCAGCTTTTCTTTCATGGTTACATTTGTACTGTTACCTCTGTTATCAAATAATATTTATGACCTTTGTTAGGAAAAGAGAATCTCTTATTTAAAGAAATCCAATTTATGCATAAGCTGTGGCTGTAATACTACAATTTGCTTATTCTGATAACAAATACCATATATGGTGTTAAACAAAAGTAACTTTCAATTAACTGGAAATTATTAGGAACCTTATTTCTTAACCATTTTTTTTTTCACAAGGGCCCACGACAGCTAATTCAATATTTACAACTGACAATATGAAGAACCCATCTGACCGAGCATCTCCTTAGCTGTCTGAACCACGAACTGCAGGATATTCTTGTAACACATGATTTTAAGGCATTAAGGAGTTAAAAGCAGAGAACACAGGTCTACATTACTGCTGGGATGTAATACATCAACAATAATCATTTTAAGAAGATGCTATATAAAATAGCCACAAAAAGAAAAATAATATAACTGTAAAAGCCTGACAACAAAATGGTGAGCATTTTTAATGGGGGAGCTTATACTTTAACATATCAGAATTGTGGATTCTTGAAGAAACAATGAAACCTGGATTGCCAGAAGAAGAATATCATATACTACCAGCAAGCTAAATGAAGCTTTAGCAAGTGTTTTCTGCACTAAATATTCAGATATTCATATCAATTAATATTACTAAAAGATTTTTCCATCTAAGTTTTATCAGCAAGTATGTATCTTCTTCTAATGAAAACAAACCAAATTAAATAGCTGATGGTTTTCATCAAACACGGACTGGATTTATAATATAAAGCAAGTTATGTGATCAAGAAATTAAGGACTGCTATAGAAACAGACTTACATTTGTTAACAAAAGGATGTCTAAATACATTCTAGAAGCTAGAAACCTTATGTTTCCATTTTTGTTTTCAAATGTTCTGGGAAACAGACACTTTCATATATTCCCTCAAAGGGAAATGTAACTCCTATCATTTGAGGAAGTTTCTCTTGGTTGACTTTTTAAGACAAAACAAACACAAATATTTTGTACTGGTCTTTAGAAATCCACCAGCCAACTAACTCTCATAATTCATACAGTTGAAGTACTGGAGAGAAAAAAAAGAATTCCTACAAGACATGAAATAAAACACAGCTACTTCACTGTTGTCGGGTAAAAATTCATGTCAAAATCTGCCAATGACACCATGTATCAATTTGTGAAAAACTGCTATAGTGAGCCAAAAGGCCCATAGGCAACAGCAAACAGGTAGGTCAGAGGATGCATGTACCCCACCACACTATTTAACATTTACAGAAGAAAAGAACCTTACTCTAGAAAAGATGCATTTTTCTTAATTATCTAACTTGACATTTCTGCTTTATTTAGTTATAAATCTAACCGATGTGACAAAAGACATGATGTTTAATCTGTCAGTCCAGAAAATTTGGTACACTTAAAATTTTCCATTTTTATACGATTTGAATGTGGGCTAAGACCTTCACTTACTCGAATATATGCCTCTAATATTTTATGCCAAGCATAAAAGAAATTAATAATTATCATTTGTTTCTGAAATATTCCCTAAGATAATATGCATAAATAAAACTGTACTCTAAAACTTGTCACAGTTACATCAAGTGAAAGAAGTTAACATGAGATCTGAAAATTTTTAGTTTTTAGTATTTGTTTATGATTTTACAGTCAAATGCTGTACTTAAAATGTAAAATATAGTTGGTTGTATTTTATATTTTAACTGAATATACTGATTACTGACATTTTAGCCCAGAAAACCAGATATTTTTATAGATTACTCTAAACCTCTATATATTAAAATATAGATTTGCATGAATTAGCAAAAGAGTTTTTTTTTTTATTTTCCTCAAATATATGTACAGTGGGTGATTTATACAAAAGGTTTCACAGGGAATGTGTAACTTTAAAGAGATTCCTCAGGAAATGGGCTTCAGATATTCTTTTCCCTAAAATTTCATTTTTATTTTAAAATGTTTAAACAAATAAAATCAACTGATACATTATTTTAAACCACTTCAAAAATGGTTATTTCTTAATATATTAAATTTCAATTTTCTCCTTCTACAAGGTACGAGAGGGTGTGGTCACAAAATAAATCATTCATAGGAGTGATTTAGTGCTCTTTTATAAATCTTTGTGACATTGTACCTTAACATAATGTCCTTTTCCCCCAATGTTTATATCATAAGTGCACCCATTATAAAGTTCAGTGTGAACATTTTCACTGCGAAATAAGATGTTTATCATTAGCTTATGTCTTTGAGAAATAACTACAAATATCCCCAAACACACTGTTGATTACTGAATATGGATTTCAGTCAAGAACATGGACAAAATGGTTTAAAACAGTTTAAAACTAGTGCTCTGTGCCACTTACATTTTAAATGAACACTTGTCCTGTTTATTTGAAATCTTAAGGGAATAATTACACCTACACTAATTATGCTAGAACATATTAAAATAGCATTTATTTCCCACCTTCTCACAACATTTTAAAATGAAACCTTAAAACACTGAGCTAAAATTACTTTTGCATACTGGATAGTTTCATTGTATAAAAATATACTTTATCTCAAATAATATCCTTGAAAAATCCAAATGAGGAAAATCTTTTTTAGTATACTAAATAATTCTGAACTATATATTGAATATTCCCATATAGTTATTTCTTCAAAGGGAGGACCCTATTTCCTCTTATATCAAAATAATACAACCATGATGCTTCCTTAATTCTATTTCTCATTAATAGTTTACAAACTTTAAGAACACACGAGTTTTTACAAAGAACACATGTTTTATACGTCATTTAAATTGCCAAATATCAAATAGTTTATTCTATTTCACTTTCTAGGGAAAACACCAACTGCTCCAAAAGAATGTGTTTTTCTCCCATTCTGGAAATCAACATGCAGTCTGAATCTAACATTACAGTGCGAGATGACATTGATGACATCAACACCAATATGTACCAACCACTATCATATCCATTAAGCTTTCAAGTGTCTCTCACCGGATTTCTTATGTTAGAAATTGTGCTGGGACTTGGCAGTAACCTCACCGTACTGATACTTTACTGCATGAAATCCAACTTAATCAACTCTGTCAGTAACATTATTACAATGAATCTTCATGTACTTGATGTAATAATTTGTGTGGGATGTATTCCTCTGACTATAGTTATCCTTCTGCTTTCACTGGAGAGTAACACTGCTCTCATTTGCTGTTTCCATGAGGCCTGTGTATCTTTTGCAAGTGTCTCAACAGCAATCAACATTTTTGCTATCACTCTGGACAGATACGACATCTCTGTAAAACCTGCAAACCGAATTCTGACAATGGGCAGAGCTGTAATGCTCATGATATCCATTTGGATTTTTTCATTTTTCTCTTTCATGATTCCCTTTATGGAGGTAAATTTTTTCAGTCTTCAAAGTGGAAATACATGGGAAAACAAGACACTTTTGTGTGTCAGTATAAATGAATACTACACTGAACTGGGAATGTATTACCACTTGCTAGTACAGATCCCAATATTCTTTTTCACTGTCATAGTAATGTTAATCACATACACCAAAATACTTCAGGCTCTTAATATTCGAATAGGCACAAGATTTTCAACAGGGCAGAAGAAGAAAGCAAGAAAGAAAAAGACAATTTCTCTAACCACACAACATGAGACTACAGACATGTCACAAAGCAGTGGTGGGAGAAATGTAGTCTTTGGTGTAAGAACTTCAGTCTCTGTAATAATTGCACTCCGGCGAGCCGTGAAACGACACCGTGAACGAAGAGAAAGGCAAAAAAGAGTCTTCAGAATGTCTTTATTGATTATTTCTACATTTCTTCTCTGCTGGACACCAATTTCTGTTTTAAATACGACCATTTTATGTTTAGGCCCAAGTGACCTTTTAGTAAAATTAAGGTTGTGTTTTCTAGTCATGGCTTATGGAACTACTATATTTCACCCTCTACTATATGCATTCACTAGACAAAAATTTCAAAAGGTCTTGAAAAGTAAAATGAAAAAGCGAGTTGTTTCCATAGTGGAAGCCGACCCCATGCCTAATAATGCTGTAATACACAACTCTTGGATAGATCCTAAAAGAAACAAAAAACTTTGCTTTGAAGATAGTGAAATAAGAGAAAAATGCTTAGTACCTCAGGTCGTCACAGACTAAGGAAAAGACTAAGGTTCACCAAACCCACATTCAGAAGTTCTCAATTAAAATGTAAAAAATGGAATTACTGCCAAATATGAGGAAAAACACTTTAAGTATTAGTTATGGGTTGTAAATTTTCAATGTAAATGTCAAGATTAGATTAGGTCATATATATTCAATTTCTTCATTACTTAATGTATTTGTTGCATGGCAGTTTGTTAAAATAATATTGTGTATATTTTGTCAATATTATGTCTGTCCATCAGAAGATACTCATGTAAGTCATATTTTTTAAAGAATAAATACATAGCCTTAAAACAGTGTACAACTTTAAAACATAACTGACACAGATATCCTTGCTTTTTTTTAATATAAAGTATATTGTTTCTAAGCCACAAACTATATATATATTTATATGATGACAACTGATACAGCATTTTAACATAAGAATAAAAATTACGGGCTCCAAACAATCAAAACAATCCAGGATTTTCTGTATCCTGTACTGTTTTCTGGTGTTGTCTACTTGCTGTAATACTAAATGCATCAAAAATTATGAGCTATGCATAAAACTTTATCCTCTTTTTTAAATGTAGAAATTGTAGGATTTATCAGGATTTTAAAATTCAAGAACCAAAAAACAGTCCTCTGTATGCACACCAAGCTACAGAAACTTTGAAATTCAAGTTTATTATGAAAAACACATTGAATTTCTAAGATCAAGGGCACTATGCCTAAAATATACAAATGAACTGATAATAAAGAGAAGGAAGAAAATTAAAGCACTAGCCTCTTTCTTCCTTTCTCACTTTGCTTGAGTCTAAGCCAAATGCTCTGGATTCATACAGTACATTGGTAAAAACCAGTGCATTAAAATAAGCTGACTTCCTTACTTTACTCAAGTCAGGCTTTTTGTATAATAGAAGTTAACTAATAAAATCTGAATACAAGGAAGAAAAAAACTTTATATAACATTGTAGAAAAGTTTAACAAAAGTAACTATTTCTAATTTTAGATATACAGGAACTTCAGCCTAACACAATTTACACAATGTTCCCACATAACCATGTTTCAAAATACAGTAGTTCTATTTCCACTCGGAAAATCACTAAAGCAAAAATAAATCTTGTCGTTTTGTTTTATTCTACATGACTTAATTTAACTTTCAGCATTTTATCTCCCATCTTCAATTCATGTTGGAATACTTCTTTGCTATGAGATTGTGAATCCTAACTACAGATATGAGGTTTGGGAATCTCAAAGCCAACAAATATTTTCCAGTTGCTATAATCTAATAATCTATTGATGAGTGCTAATTATCATTGTATTAAAAAACAGCAAAAAGCTACTTAAAGTAGGCAAATACTTGCCACCTTGTAATTGGTTAATGGGTCAATATTGTTTTTTAACAGTGTATTCACTAAATCAAGTAGCAACTCATTTTTAAGTAAAAAAATTTTGTCTAACAATAATAAATCACTTTTTTGTAAATAAATGAGATTTATCCAATATAGTTAGTGAATACCTCAATCCTTGGGGAAATGAGCACCGTGCAATAGCTTGAATTCACTGAAGTTATATGGCAAATTTAACAGTGATTTATTTGTTAAAATAATGTCAAATCTTGACAAAGGCAGCTTCTTTCTGCCTTTTTTTCCTACTCTTTTATGGAATTAAAGAAATGGTTCAATTTGACAAAATGTGGCATATGCAAGTAAGACTTATATTTTGAAACCATAAAAAGAAATTAAGACTTCATAAAAATATTAACATTTTTTCATTTGATAAATGTTTGACACAGTATATCTAATATATTCATTAAAATTTTTTAAACTAATTTTATGCTTAGACTTCTGAGCATAAACTTAAATTATCATATTTAATTTTATAAGCTTAATAGAAATTAGACTATTTTTAGAGTTTTCATATTGAGAGAAAACCCTTTGTATTTTAAATATTTTTAATCTTCAAGTCTATAAACTTGCCAAAGAACTCAGTAAAAAAAGTTTTCTAATATATTTGCCTAAACTGCTTTCATGCCCTCATTCTCTGTAATAAAAAATCTAAAAAAATAAGAAATAAATGGCAAATATTATAACACTGCCCTCTAAACTGTTATTATTTCTACACTTGACACTGGAACAATTACAAAGCATTTTTGCACACCTGTAATGATCTTTCAGGTATACAACAACCCACACTGATTTACAACAAAGAAAATTCATATTTACCAGACAATTTCTAATAGCTTTTTAAATGTTAAATGCTACATAATATATAAACCGATATTTACGTTAAAAAGCTCAGCTTTTAAAGACAAGTCACAAATATGTTTGCAATTACTGACTTCAGTTTAAATGAGAGAATGAGAAGTTTAGACAATCATTTTTATTAAATGTTTGTTCTATGAAAAGGTGAAATATTTTTATTCTCCTCTTGACAACTTTCACTACAACACATAAACTTTCCACTTCATTTCAAATAATTATACCAGAATAAGCATTAATGCCAATTTTTCATGTTAGAATGAAAATTTTAAATGCAAAAACAACAGAGGTAACAGTAACTCAATATAGGATCCTTCTTAAAATCTTATTTTTCTAACCATGCCATAAATTATACACACAGATATAATTTCTATATAGTCAAACAGGTTAGTTCTTCAAAACAATAGAAATAAGAACTCTTATTTTAAAAACTAACCAAAAATGAACTCAACAAAATTTGGAACTTTTTGTTTTACTTGCTAATATAAGAAGATTATTATTTTATCAAGTAGTAACTCAACAGATGTTCAAACCTATTATGAAAATGATTTACAATTATGTATTGTTTTTTTTTTAATGACACTCATAATAACTCTGTACTTCTCAGTCAAGGTAAGTGAATTTTTAGGTATGTGGCCTATTTTTTAATCACCCAAATAAAATTATAGCAAAATCTCAATTCTCTGGGCATTAAAAATTAAATTCCTCATTTAAATGAGATTAGACTAAAAGTAAAAACATTTTAACATAAGAATAAAAATTACGGGCTCCAAACAATCAAAACAATCCAGGATTTTCTGTATCCTGTACTGTTTTCTGGTGTTGTCTACTTGCTGTAATACTAAATGCATCAAAAATTATGAGCTATGCATAAAACTTTATCCTCTTTTTTAAATGTAGAAATTGTAGGATTTATCAGGATTTTAAAATTCAAGAACCAAAAAACAGTCCTCTGTATGCACACCAAGCTACAGAAACTTTGAAATTCAAGTTTATTATGAAAAACACATTGAATTTCTAAGATCAAGGGCACTATGCCTAAAATATACAAATGAACTGATAATAAAGAGAAGGAAGAAAATTAAAGCACTAGCCTCTTTCTTCCTTTCTCACTTTGCTTGAGTCTAAGCCAAATGCTCTGGATTCATACAGTACATTGGTAAAAACCAGTGCATTAAAATAAGCTGACTTCCTTACTTTACTCAAGTCAGGCTTTTTGTATAATAGAAGTTAACTAATAAAATCTGAATACAAGGAAGAAAAAAACTTTATATAACATTGTAGAAAAGTTTAACAAAAGTAACTATTTCTAATTTTAGATATACAGGAACTTCAGCCTAACACAATTTACACAATGTTCCCACATAACCATGTTTCAAAATACAGTAGTTCTATTTCCACTCGGAAAATCACTAAAGCAAAAATAAATCTTGTCGTTTTGTTTTATTCTACATGACTTAATTTAACTTTCAGCATTTTATCTCCCATCTTCAATTCATGTTGGAATACTTCTTTGCTATGAGATTGTGAATCCTAACTACAGATATGAGGTTTGGGAATCTCAAAGCCAACAAATATTTTCCAGTTGCTATAATCTAATAATCTATTGATGAGTGCTAATTATCATTGTATTAAAAAACAGCAAAAAGCTACTTAAAGTAGGCAAATACTTGCCACCTTGTAATTGGTTAATGGGTCAATATTGTTTTTTAACAGTGTATTCACTAAATCAAGTAGCAACTCATTTTTAAGTAAAAAAATTTTGTCTAACAATAATAAATCACTTTTTTGTAAATAAATGAGATTTATCCAATATAGTTAGTGAATACCTCAATCCTTGGGGAAATGAGCACCGTGCAATAGCTTGAATTCACTGAAGTTATATGGCAAATTTAACAGTGATTTATTTGTTAAAATAATGTCAAATCTTGACAAAGGCAGCTTCTTTCTGCCTTTTTTTCCTACTCTTTTATGGAATTAAAGAAATGGTTCAATTTGACAAAATGTGGCATATGCAAGTAAGACTTATATTTTGAAACCATAAAAAGAAATTAAGACTTCATAAAAATATTAACATTTTTTCATTTGATAAATGTTTGACACAGTATATCTAATATATTCATTAAAATTTTTTAAACTAATTTTATGCTTAGACTTCTGAGCATAAACTTAAATTATCATATTTAATTTTATAAGCTTAATAGAAATTAGACTATTTTTAGAGTTTTCATATTGAGAGAAAACCCTTTGTATTTTAAATATTTTTAATCTTCAAGTCTATAAACTTGCCAAAGAACTCAGTAAAAAAAGTTTTCTAATATATTTGCCTAAACTGCTTTCATGCCCTCATTCTCTGTAATAAAAAATCTAAAAAAATAAGAAATAAATGGCAAATATTATAACACTGCCCTCTAAACTGTTATTATTTCTACACTTGACACTGGAACAATTACAAAGCATTTTTGCACACCTGTAATGATCTTTCAGGTATACAACAACCCACACTGATTTACAACAAAGAAAATTCATATTTACCAGACAATTTCTAATAGCTTTTTAAATGTTAAATGCTACATAATATATAAACCGATATTTACGTTAAAAAGCTCAGCTTTTAAAGACAAGTCACAAATATGTTTGCAATTACTGACTTCAGTTTAAATGAGAGAATGAGAAGTTTAGACAATCATTTTTATTAAATGTTTGTTCTATGAAAAGGTGAAATATTTTTATTCTCCTCTTGACAACTTTCACTACAACACATAAACTTTCCACTTCATTTCAAATAATTATACCAGAATAAGCATTAATGCCAATTTTTCATGTTAGAATGAAAATTTTAAATGCAAAAACAACAGAGGTAACAGTAACTCAATATAGGATCCTTCTTAAAATCTTATTTTTCTAACCATGCCATAAATTATACACACAGATATAATTTCTATATAGTCAAACAGGTTAGTTCTTCAAAACAATAGAAATAAGAACTCTTATTTTAAAAACTAACCAAAAATGAACTCAACAAAATTTGGAACTTTTTGTTTTACTTGCTAATATAAGAAGATTATTATTTTATCAAGTAGTAACTCAACAGATGTTCAAACCTATTATGAAAATGATTTACAATTATGTATTGTTTTTTTTTTAATGACACTCATAATAACTCTGTACTTCTCAGTCAAGGTAAGTGAATTTTTAGGTATGTGGCCTATTTTTTAATCACCCAAATAAAATTATAGCAAAATCTCAATTCTCTGGGCATTAAAAATTAAATTCCTCATTTAAATGAGATTAGACTAAAAGTAAAAAACAAAAGTATAAGAGACAGGGGCTCAGTAGGCCTTTATTCAACATAGTGATTTAAGACTACTTACCAAAGTCAATAGAACTTTTGGTTTTATTATATTTTATGACTGTACATTTAAGTAAACTTTGTAATTCAACTAATATTTGAATTATTACAATGTAGAAGGCATTGTTGCAGATATTCATATTCATTTGAATAGTGTCATTACCTTTGCAGCTTAAAATCTAGAATCAAGATATTAAAAAGTAAGGTAATACCTATTAAAAAAGGCAGAATGTGGTAAATACTATTTTTAAAAAAGAGCAAAGTTCCTATTAATAGACTAAAAAGGGAATTAAATTGGATTTCAGAACAGTATAAACAAAAGCACTGTTGAGGAAAGGTATTGAAGCATATTCTGGAAACAGTACATTGCTCTCTCTAGAAGAAAAGTACTATAGTAGCAAGAAGTTGATCTGGTAAGTTAAATTGGGGCCAAAAGAGAGGTCTTAAATGCCAGCTGAGAAATCTGAGCAAGGGAATCATATAATGAGAAACAAGCTACAAAAAATAATGATAATAAAACTGCAATATGTAAAAAGAGTCGATCGGGTAAGACACAGGAATGGCAAAGTGAGAAACCAAACTGTCAGTTGGGTAAGACACAGAAGATGGGAAGCTGCTGCTATCACCTTGGTAGGTAATAAAAAGCCTGGCAAGAAGTGCCAGCAGTAGCTCTGCAAAGGAGCGTAGAGATGTGACAGGCAATGCAAAGGCAGAATCAACAGGCATGCAAGTGGATAAGATAGACAACTGGTATAAGAGATTTAAGAATTAAAATGATGGCCATAAAAAGGACGATAAGAAACTATTATCCTCAACAATCTACAACTTTTAAATTATGCTTATGTGAAAGTAAACGAATACCAAGGACAAAAACAAAAAGGATTTATGGCAGAGTAGAAAATTCAATCAGGTTAACTAAATAACATTCAAGAAACTATTCAAAATGAAAATTCCAAGTTGATGCTTTAAATTATCTACTTTATATTTTGCATATTGGTTTATTCAGCTTTTCCATTAAACACATATTTTCTTCTTCAGTAACTTTTTAATTACAAAAAATTGTAAACAGTTAATGGAAAATTACCAAGGTATATAAAGTAAAAAATGTAAATATCATCCTTTGAAAGGACGATAAGAAACTATTATCCTCAACAATCTACAACTTTTAAATTATGCTTATGTGAAAGTAAACGAATACCAAGGACAAAAACAAAAAGGATTTATGGCAGAGTAGAAAA